GGCTTGGTCACTGCCCCCGGCTAGAGGGTGGCCACAGTCTCTGAGTCCTGGGGTGGAGTATCAAAGCCCATTTGAGCCCTGATGTCCAGCTGGAGGTTGTGTCTGCCCTCGGCAGGGCAGAGGCCCTCGTACTTACAGGATTTCATGTCATGGACCAGCACTGTCCTGGCTATTGGTTTGGACAAAGGGCAGATGGTACCTATTTGTTGAATGATTTTTAAAAAATCATCTAAAGGATTTGACCTGAATTATGATGTCTCTCTGGTAGAGAGAATAGGTTTTTTGGTTTGTGTCTTGAGGGTGGTGAGGAGTGTGGCTTTTGTCCAGAGCAAGAGGGAAGAGAACCGCCCAGCAGCTAGCGAGTGGGGCTCTAACCCCAGGGGTGTCCTCCACAATTCGTGGGGCCCAGCCTCTTTGTTTTCTTCAGGGAGGGGGTGTCTGCTCTATGAAACCCCAGGCTGGCTGCCTCCTTGCTCCTGGCTCTGCAGTACTGTGATCACCTCTACTTTCAGGCAGTGGCTCACCGTTGCCGGGGTGTCTGGAGGGCCTGTGCTGCCTGAGCAGGGTGGCATAGCTCACAGTTGGGGTGGCATGTTGGAGATCTTCCACAAATAGCTTTTCCCAGAACTTGGGAAACTCAGCCTCAAATTGCTTCTTGGAACTTTCCTCCCATCGTATCCCTGGGGCCTGGTGTCCAGATTGTGCTTATGGGGGTAGCAGGCGGACTGGGAGAGGAGCAGGGCGGGGAGGGGGAGTGGAATCATTGCCTACTTGGGCCACAGCATCCAGTCCTTTCCTGGGGCCTTCAGGGGTCTCCAGACTCCCCCGGGTCAGCTTTGGCGTGGACCAGCCTAGTCCACCCTCTGCCAGCCTCCCGGTCACAGACCTCCCTTGACAGGTGAGCGGGTGAGCAACATGGCGGAGTTGCCTTTCAATGAGTATCGCGAGTGCATCAGTGTACAGACGGACAAAGGCACTGAGGTGGCCACCAACCTGGTGATTGTCTGCAACGGTATCAAGATCAACAGCTTTGCCTACCACCGTGCATTTGGTAAGCAGGTGGCAGAGCCACTGTCCACTGCTCAGGTTGCCTCCTCGCTGCCCAGCGTCCAAGGCCCCTCAGGCCTTTCCTCCAGGAATCGGCACCCCCTACCTTTCCCCTCCATCCCAGCAGCCCTTTTGTCTCTTCTGAATGGTGACATCAAACTTTAAATTTAAGTTCAGGTTCACTCTTGTTGTCCTTTCCTCAGCTGTGATAATGATGACTTAGCCCCGTGGTTGGCAAACTGCGGCTTGCAAGCCACATGCGGCTCTTTGCCCCCTTGAGTGTGGCTCTTCCACAAAAGACCACGTGTGGGCGCACATGTACAGTGCGATTGAAACTTAGTGGCCCATGCGCAGAAGTTGGTATTTTGTGGAAGAGCCACACTCAAGGGGCCAAAGAGCTGCATGTGGCTCGCGAGCTGCGGTTTGCCAAGCCGCAGTTTGCCGACCACAGCCCAAGATGTGCAAGGTGACGAGACTCTTCCAAAATTGGGGCCCGCCCCCAAGCAGCAAGAGTTGAGAACGGGTTTCAGAGAGCCGAAAAGATCTGCTTTCTGTTCCTGTCCTTGGATCTCGGATGCAGAGGAAATCCTGGGGTCAGGCCTTTCTCTCTTCACAGGTGTGCTGCTCTCCCCAAACCCTGACCCAGATGTTTGGCCACTTGAGCTGGGATGACCATTTGGGGAGTGGGGGCAATATTGTGGCTTCGTGTCCTTAAAGCTCAATGTTGGACCATCGGGCTGACGGAAACATGGAGCAGGTGGCCTCCTGCCTCCATGTGTGAATGGAGACTCAGGGGCTCCTGGTCAGGCCCCATGTTGCTGTGTCCTCAGGTTCCCCGCATGTATGCCCGAGTCCCATTCCTGCCCGCGGAGCTCCCCCTCTGTGCCTGCAGGAAAGACTTATCCAATCCCAGAGGAAGGAAGCTAGTCCAGGCCAGGCATGTGGGTGGAACTGAGGGTTAATGGACAGAGAGCCCAAAACTGAACACCTAATTGTCCTAATGATATACTTCAAAGATAAGCTTTTAAGTCCCTTAAAATGAAAAGTTTATCATTTATTAAAGCCCTGTATTTATTTTAAAAATCTGATCCACGTTAAAAAGAAAGTTCAGGACTCGGCCAAGTTGTGAACGTAAGCACTGTGTTAACCGTGGTAACGTACAGAGTCACGCACAGCACAGAGAATGACCCTTGCTGTCTTTCTGACCAGTTCCCACCCTGGAGTGGTACCCTTGCCTCTGCAGGAGGAGTTCGGGGGGGAGGGGGGGGCTGGGGCGCTTCAAGTGGAAATAAACTGGGTGGGCGGCTTGCCTCCGGAGATTGTGCCTCTTGTGGTGGCTTGACCGGCACCAGAGCTCCTCTTCTCTGTGCTCTGGGGGCCACTTAACATGGCAGCTTAGGGTTTTGGTTTCCTGTTGGTTTCGCCTGGCAGATAGTGGACTGGCCAGCAATGGTGCCCTGAAGGTGAACGAGTACCTCCAGGTGGAGGGCTACAGCCACATCTACGCCATCGGCGACTGTGCCGACGTGAAGGAGCCCAAGATGGCCTATCATGCTGGCCTCCATGCTAACATCGCCGTGGCCAATATCGTCAACTCCATGAAACAGAGGCCCTTCAAGGCCTATAAACCAGGTGAGGGAGTCCCATGGGCTTCACAGTTTTTTAAAAAAAATTTTTTTATTGATTTCAGAGAGGAAGGGGGAGGGAGAGATAGAAACATCAACGATGAGAGAGAATCATTGATTGGCTGCCTCCTGCACGCCCCCTACTGGGGATCGAGCCTGCAACCCAGGCATGTGTCCTTGACTGGAATCAAACCTGGGACCCTTCAGTCCACAGGCCCACGCTCTATCCACTGAGCAAAACCGGCTAGGGCAACTTTTGCTTCACAGTTTTAAGAGAGTAGGGGTTAGACATGGTGAAAGTTTTTGAGATAAATGACTACTAGTACCAACTTTTTAAAAAAATTTTTTTTATTAATTATGGGAGAGGGAGAGAGAGAAAGAAACATCAATGTGAGAGCAAAACATCGATTGGCTGCCTCCTGCACTCACCCTACCAGGCACTGAGCCCGAAAGCCCAGCAAGTACCCTGACCAGGAATTGAACCGGCAACCTTTCGGTGCACAGGACGACGTCCAACGCCAACGGCCAGGGCTAGGACAAACTTTTAAAGCCGGAGACAGAAACACTCCCTAGAACGCTTTAATAATTTGTAATTAATAAATCTGGGCATTGCCCGCCACAGATGGTGAGCAGAACTCTATCTTGTGCTTCTGCCCCACAGGTGCGCTGACGTTCCTCTTGGCCATGGGGAGAAATGACGGTGTGGGCCAGATCAGCGGCTTCTATGTGGGGCGCTTCATGGTTCGGCTGGCCAAGAGCCGGGACCTGTTCGTGTCCACGAGCTGGAAAACCATGCGGCAGTCTCCACCCTGAGGAGGAGGCTGGGCGGGAGACGAGGTACCACCGACACCTGGGAACGGATTGCCTGACAAGTGGTACCCACCTGACAGCTGTCAAAGGGCACTCTTTCTGGAGTAAGATGCCACTGATGTACTCACCAGAAACACAACTTACAGAAAAGCAAAACTGGAGAGGAGAGAGAGAGAAAAACAGAGGAGGAGAGAGAGAGAGAGAGAGAGAGAGAGAGAGAGAGAGAGAGAGAGAGAGAGAGAGAGAGAGGAGAGATTAAAAAGACACCCCCTAGAGGATTCTTTCTGGGTTTGGCAAGGCTGAATGAATGCTTCACTGGGTCCTGGGAGTGCAAAGCCAGCCTTCTGCATAACAGGCTCCCCTTGGATGTGTGTGCATGTGCGGGCGCTGGGTCTCCTGAGGGCTGGGTTCCTGTCTGCAGGGCAGGAAGGAGGACCTGCCAAGTGAGACCAGCTAAGGAAGGGGGTCTGCACCCCAGTCTTGCCCGTCATTCAGAGGGTGGGGAAGCCCACACATCCTACAATACTCCAGTTGTCAGTAGGAGGCTGATTTTAAACTGTTAGTCCCTACAGTCTTTAATCTTAACGAAACTTTCTATATTTCAATTTTTATACCATATATACTATGATTACATATCATAGGTTATATTTAAGAAGAAAGAGATAAAAATTTCCCCGTTGGTTAGTCCATGCTAACAGTGAGTTTTTACGGAGCTCAGGGAAGTTAAGACCGAGACCTGGCCTGCCAGCTGCTGGAGGTGTTTAAGGGGGGGGGGGGGGGGCAGCCGAGCTACGTGACCTTTGGGTGGGTCCCCATCGGTGAACATCCAGGGAGCAGACGAGCCCTGCGTGCTTCCAGGCTGCTGTCAGGGCAAATTTACAAGTGAAAACACTCCTCTGTGGTTTTGTGCTTCTGGTCTCTTGGCCAACCCGACTGTCACTGACCTGGAGACCGGCCCTGTAGTGAGGATGCCTGCCAGCAGCTATGTTAAGGCTATACTGACTCCTCTGCTTGGGAGAGAACGTCAGTCTGGAGGAGCCTATTTTGGACCCCGCAAGTTCACACCACAGCAGACGTGGATGATCAGTTCATCCGAATAAACTCAGGTTCTGGCCCTGCCCAGCCGGCCCTTCCCTGCTTCCCTTTGATGTGGCCCCTGGATATTGGCCAGAGTCCTTGGACACCAGCCTCACGGGGGCTCCCACTCCACCCCGTCTGGGCTGCGGCCTGGGCTGATGAGACATGTGCCTCTCCCCCAAGCATGGCTTCCCCATTGGGGCATCGCCCAGGGCTGAGTTCCTATGGACCAAGGCCAGTGAGGCCCCCCTTCTGGAAGCAGGACCGATGCCCGAGAAGCAGGCCGTTCCGTGCTGTCTGGCCGGGGGCCTACCTAGCTAGCGTGGCGGAGTCAGAGCCCGCTGGAGACAGGCCTCGTTCTGCTTATAGCATTCTAGACGTGCCCACACCCATAGGGACAGTTTTCCAAACAGGAAAATGTTGCAATAAAAGAATATGTTGTAAGAAAGACACTGAATCTTTTATTTTTTTTTTCCTTTCATTTTCTTTTTCTTTAAAAAACAAAACAAAACAGAAAAAAGCCTGAAGTAAATCCTTTTGAGGAGTAGTTACAGATATGGGGCGGGGCGGGGGCACTAAGAAAGATAAAGCACCAGTGAGATGCCTTTCTAATTTCCTCCTCCATCACGGAGCACAGAGCCCCTGAGCAGAGCCCGGGCCCCTTGCGCGCCCTCCTCCCTTGCAAAAGGAGAAACAGAAGACAAGAGTTTTGAAAGGATTTTCTCGGTGTGTGTAAAAGTCAATGCTATAAATCTAAAATGAAGTCTGTTTTTTCCAAAAAGTTCTAAAACAACAGGAAGAAAACACATGGAAAGAACCCCTCGTGGAGACCTGGTGTTTAGGACTGAGGCTCTTTGTAACGAGAATATAACACGCAGCGGCTCCTTCCGTGGGCGGGACCTGCTCCCGCAGCCTCTGCCCCCCACTTCCCTCCAGCCGCCCAACGCTCCCTTCCTCGCTCCGTGTGAAAAATAAAACCTGCTCCTGTGACCGATCCTCCGGCAGCTCCTGTTGGCAAGCGCAGCCGCGGGGCTACTTGGTGTCGAGCTTGGCCATCTCCTGCACGTAGATGCCGATGCTCTCGCTGTCAAAGAGCAGGAAGTACACGTTCTTCAGCGAGGACGCGCTCGAGTCGTCGAAGTGGGCCGAGATGGCTTTGAGGGTCACCTGAGCGGCCGTCTGTTTGGGGAAGCAGTTTCTGCGCCGGAGGAAAGGAAGAGCCGCTGTCACGTTGGTCCCTGGGACCCTGGAGTGACAGCCCGGGGCGGGGGCAAAGCGGGCCCTTCTTATCTTGGCCCCGGGCCCTGACTGCCATCGCACGGGGCCTAACCACGGGCAGGCTGGTCCTCGCCCCATCTCCTTTGATGCCAGTCAGAGCGACAGCCGGGGTGTGTGTGGGGAAGCAGGGGGCCCATATCATCACCTCACAGGTGCCACACTGACTCGGGCACAGGGGTTTTAGCCAAGATCATAGGGCAGACCGGCGAGCGGTGCCCTGGGCTTGAATACGTAGCCCGACTTCAGTCAAGCTTGGCTTTGAAAACACTACCAATTCAGCATTTCAAACACCTGGTCTTCAAAACAGCACCTAAAGGTTTCATTAGCTCCCTCAAAACCAGTTTACGTCGTAGACTGTTTATTAAAGGGCAAAAAGAGATGCTCAAAAGCGTGTGTTCATAGTTCCTTTTCATGCACTTAATGTTCCTCTCATCAACACACAGAGATGTGCGAATGTCATTTCAGCAGCAGTGACGTACAGAAACGGGACCTCCCCTCTGCTAACCCCCAAAACAAACCCGAGGTGAGAGCTTTTCATTTCTCTGGGTGTGCATGTCACCGCCTTGGCCTCCTGGCCTTCCTTCCGCCCTCCTCCCCCCGCCCCCCCCCCCCCCCCCCCAAGCAGCACAGGATCCCCGTGAGTAGCAAGGCCTTCAAAGCCTGGTGTTTTCTGCCTCTCGCTTCTCCCCAAAGCTCCTCTCTCCGAGTGTTCTGAAGGATGGAGGCTGGCAGCCTCTGGTCATGTCTGCAGTGGCCAGAGTGGATGTGTCAGTGGAGAGAGAGCACTGGCTCCCAGGGAGAAGGCTGGACTCAGAACCTCCCCGCCCGTGCCCACCCACCCGCCCCGAGAAGCCCCTCCTACCTGCCACTGGGGAAGGGTGGGAAGGCCACAGACTTTAGCTTCTTGTCCTCGGCTGCCGACAGGCAGTTCTTGATGGTCTCTTCAAGCTGCTCTTCACACTTGTCCGAGCCCCACTGAGGGATGTGACAGTGGATGACAAACTTGGCCGCGAGTCCGCTGGATTGGCTGACGGCAGCTGGGACGCGGGAGAGAAACGCTGCAGGTTAGTCCCTGGTCTTCACCTTAAGCCAGGGGGTCAGGCCGAGCCCCACATATACCTGTGAGGTGTGTGGGGACAAGGAGGCGACAGAGAAGGCGACTGGACAAACTCCTGTGCCTCCGAAGGGGACTGCAGGGTCACAGCGCGGGAGCTGGGCCGGAATCGCTCTGACAGCGGCACAAGCTTCCTTTAAAGCTGACGTGGCACCACGTGACCTGCCTGTGCCCTGCCAACTCGTCACCGGGTGAGGCTACCTATTCCCCGGGGTCCTGCCCGAAGGTGCACATCAGTCATCCCTGGGGCGGTGGGAGGCTGCGGCGTGGCCTCCCGGATGTGCACATCCGGATCCCTGGAGGCTGTGCCTGTTACCCGCGTGGCATAAGGGGCTTTGCGGTGGGAGTCAGGGAGGGACGCTGAGGTGGGAACACAGTCCTCTGAAGAGGGAGCAGGAAGGTCACGGGAGGAGAAGATAAAGCAGAGAGGGGAGAGCTGCGTCCAGGAGCCAGGGACGTGGCAGCCAGGACTGGAAGAGGCTGGTTCCTCTGAGCAGGAACCAGCACTGCTAGCACCTGGGTGCAGGAGCCTGTGGACCTCTGACCTCCAGAGCTCAGAGAGAAAACGTCTGTGTTGTTTGAAGCCACGAAATGTGTGGTACTTTTTAAAAATATATTTTTTATTTCAGAGAGGAAAGGGGAGACGGAGAGAAACATCAATGATGAGAGAGAATCATGGGTTGGCTGCCTCCTGCAGGCCCCCCACTGGGGATGGAGCCCGCAACCCGGGCATGTGCCCTTGACGGGAATCGAACCTGGGACCCTTTGGTCCGCAGGCCAATGCTCTTATCTTCTGAGCCACACCGGCTGGGGCTTGTGGTAATTTTTTTATAGCAGCGACAAGAAACCAATACAATGGCTTTTAGACTGACCAACAGACGTGTCCATCCCCACCCTGAGATCCCCACTCAGCAGGTCTGGTGCGGCTTGTGCTCGTGACCGGATCCTCCGTAAGTCGGGCCACGCACCTGGCCCTCCACTCCCCCACAGCGTTTGTCTTCCTGATCGTCTCCGAGGAGCCTGCAGGGAGCGGGCCTTCACACGGCGTGTCTATTTATTTATTTATTTTTAATCCTCATCCGAGAATATGTTTCCATTGATTTTTAGAGAGAGTGGGAAAGACAGAAATAAATAGTGATGTGAGAGAAACTCATTGATTGGTTGCCTCCGGCATGTGCCCCGACCAGGGCCCTGGCCGGGGAGGAGCCTGCAACCAGGGTACGTGCCCTTGACTGGAATTGAACCTGGGACACTTTGGTCTGCAGGCCGATGTTCTATCCACTGAGCCACACGGACTAGGGCTATCCTCAATATTTTCAACCTGAGGACCCAGGGTTTCATTCTGGAAATCGTACAGCAACGATCTTTTAAAACACGGCTTCTCTACCCTCTATCTTCTGCCTCTGGAACTTCAGACGCAAGATGGAGCCTCTCATTCTATGCAGAGCAGCTGTTTCCTCTTTCCCACCCTGACAAGCAGTCTGCTGGGTGCCTTCCCTAGACCCCCAGCTCAGATTCAGTCTTTGTGGCCAATTCAGGGCTCTGTCTCATGACCGGGCAGGGGTGTGGTAGGTCCACGCACTGAGCCAGTGGGCATGTGGCCTGGGCGAGAGGCTCCCTGCTCCCATCGGCTCCCCTAGGAAACAGCTTTCACACAAGCCAGGCCCTGCTGGTGGTCTGAGCGAAAGGCCACGGGCGTTGCTTTCAGCACTGAGTCTGGCTTTGGTTCCCTCCACGGAGGAGGTGACTCTGTTCTCATCACCACCTAAGAGCCACCTCCTGATGGTTCAGCATATTGCAGACCTGGAGCCCACCCGCAGCTTAGCCCTGCCCTGCTGCTGCCCCAGGCAGCGCTCCTACCCCTGCCCACATGCATGTTTGTCCTATATTTCAGTGTGGCTCCGTCTTAAAATTTTTTAAAAAAATGCTATCATTGCTATATGAATGGGGAATGGTATGTGCAGACTCTACAGGGTGGACTCACACTCTTTCTAGACTGGAAGACCCATTACTTCTCCAGCATCTACTAGTAATCTGATCATAAGTCCCTTGCTTCAATGGTCAAAGGCGCCCCTCTCGTCCATACCGGGTCTCCTTCTATCTGCTGCTCCCTGCTGGCTCATGACCCGAGCCTTCTCACACACAACGCCCTTATAGCCATGACGTCCCTGCCCTCAAGTGGGTCTTATACCCTCATGGAGATTCCACTTCTCCCCCAAGCAGAGGGTGGGCTCTGCAGTCCTGCTCCCGTCTCTCTGTGCCCCACTACTGAGCCTGTCTTGCCTCCTAGGCTGTTCGGTGCTTGTGGGCAGGAGGGAGATGTATTGCCTTTGGGGCCCTGGCATCAGGGCAGCACCTGGCACTGACTGGATGGCCATGGGGGGGCGTGTGGGTGGGGACACACAGATCTGAAGTTGAACACATCCATCAGAAATTACCCAATAGTCTTGAAAACAGGTGTCAAACAAAAACTTGCGCACAAATGTTTATAGCAGCTCTATTCACAATAGCTAAAGGTGGAAACCACCCAAATGATGAATGGATAAGCAAAATGGAGTATTATTCAGCCATAAAAAAGGAATGAAGTTCCGATACATGCTATAATATGATGAGCCTCGAAGAAATTATTTGTGAAAGAAGCCAGACACAAATGTTCCATATTGTATGACTCCATTTATATGACATGTCCAGGACAGGCAAATCCACAGACAGAGGAGACTGATGGTCACCAGGGGCCGAGGGAGGAGAATGACTGAAAGTTACCCAGTAACTCCGGACCATTTTTGGGTGACCTGAAGCACCCTGACTTGAACTATCCAGATACAGTGGGGCCTTGACTTACGAGTTTAATTCGTTCCGTGATGGAGCTTGTAACTCAGATTACTCGTATGTCAAATCATAAAGTGAACGAGACACGTGATGCTGGGCTGATGCTGTGGCGTTCACTGTGACGTTCGCTGTGCCAGCTAGCGGTGGGGTATCTGAAGCTGGCTCGTAACCCGAATTTTAGCTCGCAACTCAAAGCAAAAAATCGGCCGAGAGACGGCTCGTATCTCGAAAAACTCGTTAGTCGGGGCACTCGTAAGTCAAGGCCCCACTGTACGTTATAGCCCCCGAAGGACATAACATGATCCACTGTTCAAATTAAAAAGTAACTTTCTGCCCTAGCCGGTTTGGCTCAGTGGATAGAGCCTCGGCCTGCGGACTGAAGGGTCCCGGGTTCGATTCCGGCCAAGAGCATGTGCCTCGGTTGTGGGCACATCCCCAGTGGGAGGTGTGCAGGAGGCTGCTGGTCGATGTTTCTCTCTCATCGATGTTTCTGGCTCTCTGTCCCTCTCCCTTCCTCTCTGTGAAGAATCAATAAAATATATATTTTTAAAAAAAGCAACTTTCTGATTAGGCACGGCACACGTTTCTTTGCAAACTGAGCGTGCGGGAAGCCTGTGACGCTGAGAGGGAGGGGCGAGGCTGTGCCGGGAACGTGCCCAGTCCACACTCACCTTCGGCCACTTCCAAGGGGCCCTGGGACTTGCGCAGCTCCTTCACCGTCTCCAGGAACTCTTTGCCCCCCGCCTTCTCCAAGGCCTTCCCTGTGAGGACAACAAGGGGAGCCACTGTGGCTGTTCTTTCACTGCCGCCAATCACACTGTCAGACACACTTTCACGAGGCCAGAGAAAACCAACCAACCGTACTTGGAAAGTCGGAATAAAACTTTGCAACTGAAATCCTGGTTTGCCAGTGGTCACCTGTGGCAGGGGTCTGGCTTCAGTCCATCGGGACTTAGATTCTAACAGACTCTTCAAGGACCTTCTTAGGGGGTGACCTGACCATAATGTGTCTCCTGACAGGAATCCTGAAGATTATTATTATTATTATTTTAAATTGAGGCTCCAGTGTTCTGTTCTCTGGGCTCAGTACCTGTTGTGTTCATTTAATTCAATGCTTTGATTGGACGGCCACCTACTGGGGATTGAGCCCACAACCTGGGCATGTGTCCTGACTGGGAATCGAGCTGGCAACCTTTTGATGCAAGGAATGACACCCAACCAACTGGGCCACACCGGCCAGGGCTGAGATGGTGACCATTGAGTATGCTATTATTTCTCGTGCCCTTCCTAGCTTCCCTTCCCAGGCTCTTCTACCTAGCCTGGTAACATCTCCTGCCTTAAGACAATGAACTTTTCCTAGGTGCCCATTTCCTTTTTATCGATGGTTTTCTCAATGTTTAAGCTTAAAATATATGTAGAATTTAACCCAAAACATGTACAACAATGTTTGTACCAGTATTACTCGTTATTATCTAAACCAAAAACCACCTGAATGCCATCAATGGTAGAATGGATCAACAAATTGGGATATATATATATCCCTACAGTGGAATACTATACAGCAAAGAAAAATGAACGGACTACAACCATACTCAACAACATGAGTGAACTTCACAAATACAAAGTTGAGCAAAAGGAGGCAGACACAAAAGAAGACGCACTGCATGATTTCATTTATAAAGACTCCAAGAACAGATGACGCCATCTGTGCTGTTAGAAGACAAGATAGTGGTCACCTTGGAGGGAATGGTGACTGGGAGTGGGGAGAAGGGGACTTCTGAGGTGCTGGTAAGGTTCTGCTTCATGATCAAGGTGCCGGTTGTAAAGATGTATTCACTTTAAGAAAAATTCACCAAGCTGTGCACTAATGATCTGTTTTTATCTAACATTTCAATGAAAATTTCAAAAATATATGCAGATTTAAAACAAAATTAGTTACTCTCTGGTAATGCTGTTCAGCTACATATAAAGGTAAGCACCCGAAGCAGGGGACAGCCAGCGGACAAGGGCCAACCTCCGAAGAGCTTGCCCGAACAGTGGGCTGTACTGCGGCGCCTCTACCAAAGTCTGGGGACCTTACCTATGTCTTCCTTGAGGTCAATTTCGGCCGTGGTTGGGTGGACAATGCCCTCCACTCTCATGGAGCCAATGTGGCTGATGTCACTCTGGGTCAGGGACAGCTGCATCAGGAAGAAAGGACAGAGAGTGTGGGAAAGATTAGATCCTGTTAAGCATCTTCATATTTCACATCGTATCTGTTAATTCTCTCAGTTACTAACACCGAATGCCAACACAAAGGGCTGTACATGGAGCAACGTCTCGAGTTTCCCGGTGTTTGGTTTTCAACAGGTGCTTTGAGCTCAGAGGATTTGATGTTCGCTCTGAGGTTAGCAGCTTGCACAAATCTCCTCTCCCAGGAGCAGAAACGGGACCCCCCTCCCCTCTTCTCCTTTCCCTACAGCCTATGCCTGCCTTTCCCCATCCTGGCAGCCTTGCTGGTCGGTGACATAGTCTCTGAGTAGCTTCTGCAAGGGAAGCCTGACTCTCTCCTCTACCTTCTGTCTCCTGCATCCTTCCCAGAGCAATGCAGACCTTCGGGGCAGGGTCGCAAAGCTGATGACCTCGCTTGAGAGAAGTGATGGCCTCCAGGACCCTGACCTGCGTATGTCTGGCCACCTTGCCTTTAGTGGACCACGTTCTTGGGGCTACACTTGTGAAATGCTGCCCTATGTGCATAGGGCTTAGTGGGATGGAGGCATTATTCATCGCCTCCCCATTGAGCAAGGACTTCACGATCCCCTAAAGAAGTGAGAGAAAGCTCATCGCCTCGTAACTGCGGACGGCCCCCAGAGGGGACATGAATTCCACCTCTTCGCTCTGGGCTTCCATCAGTGATGCCGTAGGAACCTGCCACTTTTACACTCTTCCCGTAACATGCTCGTCCCAACCGCGTCAATGAGATTCACACTGTACTGTCGTCAGGCTGCAAACATGGCGCTACCAGAGATACGATCAACTGTTTCCTTGTGGACCTTACGTCAGCCCCAGTTGATCTGACAGGTAATCGTCTGTTTGGTAAACTTTTATGCTGGGGAATGAATTATCTGCAGGTGTGGCTGGGCCGCCGTTGTGCTGCTGGAGACTGTTCAAATGTTTGGCCCGTTTGTGTCTTCCTGCAGCCGAGAAAGGCAGGCAGACGAAATTACTGGCAAATCATTCATTTCTAACACCAGGCGTTTTCAGGAAACATATTTCTATTTTCTTTCTTTGATGAATTACAGTGAGCCATGTGACGTGGACCGCCCAAAGCCTGCTTGAGAAATTGGCTCTGAGCATTTTGGTGAGCACAGAAATAACTGGGCCTGGGCCATTTCCAGCAAACCCAGGAATGCCATCCTCTCTACTGACCAACTATCCACTCTCCATGCTTACTTTTGGCCGGCCGACATCAGCATGAACAACTCTCAGCACGAAAGACCTGGTTCACTCGTTAGTTCAAAAATGAATCATTCAAGGCCAGAGCGAAAGTCATATTAGGGGAACCAGAGATGAAGGAGGCGTCACTGCTTGTAAACAGCAGGTTATAAAAATGCAACCATGGCCCTGGGGGAGGCTCAGTTGGTTGTGACGTCATCCCATGCACCGAAAGGTTGCGGGTTCAATCCCTGGTCAGGACACAAAGCTAGGTTGTGGATTCCATCCCCGGTCACAGAGAGTATGGGAGGCAATCGATAGATGTTTCTCTCTCTTCTCTCTTTCTCTCTCTCTCTCTCTCTCTCTCTCTCTCTCTCTCTCTCTCTCTCTTCCTTTCTCTAAAAATCAATAAACATATCCTCAGGTGAGGATTTGAAAATGCAATCATGTTTTACTACAGCACAGCACAGCACAATTCTCTTTAGTACCTTCTGCCCTAGAACAAGGCTCTTAGAAGACAAGATGGTGAATCCATCTCCTGGCCCATCTTCAGAGGTGGAATTCGAAGTCCCTTCTTTATCACTGTCTTTTGGTTTGGACTGTGGGTAGAAATCAGAGGAACAGATGGGAAGTCATTGGAGAAAAGGCCCAAAGTGGCTCAATAAAGCTCTTCCCATGGCCACCACCCCCGTGGGCATGAAAGGCAGTGGTTAGCGTTATGTTCTACTGCTCTTGATGGAGGGAAGCAAAGGGTAGCAACATCAGGAAAAGAAACGGGTGCTGCCCAAAATACGACGCGTTCAGGGTTCACGCGCACCTGTAGTTCTCACTCAAACCCGCACAGTCATGTGATTCTTGCTCTTCTCCACTTACGATGACAAGCATCAGAACCGGGAGGGTCATTCCAGCACATTGCTCAACCCCCTGTCCCCGGTTTCTCCTGGGACGCCGAGGCAGCCCAGGGCGCGCTTACATGACCTCTGTGCTGTCATGAGGTCTGTGGAGGGCAACAGACAGCCTCTGAAGCTGCGCTGTCCAACCTCCTGTGATTGTGCGACGTCCTGCGTCTGTGCTGCCAGGGCAATTGAGCACTCAGCTCGTGCAACCGAGAAAATACTTTTAAATTTGATTTAATTAAGTTAAATTCAAATAGAAAGAACCACACGTGGAGAGCAGTTACTGTGCTGGGCAGCGCCTGAAAGTATTACTCTGCAAACGGCATCTCTGGCTGTAGCCGCTCAGCGCATCAGGCTCTCCGCCACAGCTGGAACCCCCTCGGCCGGGCCTGGGGGACTATCTAGGGGAGACTAGAGGTATTTCAGTGGCAACTTGGAGCGACAGAGAAGTGAAGGGCAGCGCGCCAGGCTGTCGGCTCTCACGCAGGTTTTAGTGGGGGCAACGGCAGGGACCTGGAAACATGAGGACCACCCATGCTGTGGAAACTGCTGGTAGACCCTGCCTGGTGATTGCAGCGCATGCTTGGCATTTCCTCCCAGCACCGCGCTGTGGAGTCCCCCGTTTTCTGGAGATGTGGCTACACCTTCATCTTCGACGGTTCAACTTTCCTGCTGTTCCGAGAGTCCCTGGCTCACGGACGCAGCCTGGCTCACCTTTTTGGACGTCCGTGGTTTGGCAGCCTTGGATTTCTTGCCCCCCTTCTTGCCCGACGTGGCCTTCCTTCCTCTTTTCTCCGGCGGAGGGGAGAGGATAGTTTCCGACTTGCCTTTGGTCCCTCGCTTTTTGGCCAGCAGTTCGGGATGGATTCTGGGCAGGACGCCTCCGCTGGCAATGGTCACTCCTTTCAGCAGCTGAAGAGAGAAACGCATCAGTTCAGGCAGCTAAGAGCTTGCTGATTCTGGGTTTAACACAGTTCTAACTGTTGGCAAAACAAGGTTAAATCTGGCCTTTGTTTCCCCTAAGTTGCATAATACACCGTCTAACTGGCTTTTTCTGTTTCTCTTGCAGAGAGTATCTCTGTAGGCATCAAGGCCTCCTGTGATCTTGTGCAGAAAACACAACAAGCCAAGCAAAATGAAAGGGTAGAGAGGTTGAAACCAGCGATGCTGCCCAGGGCTCTGGAATTCCAGACATAACAGAGGATAAAGAGCCTCACACATGGGGAGCACAGCTTGACAAAATGAAGTTCAAAGGTCAAAGCTGGGGCTAGACCCAGCAGACCACTGGTCTCCGCACTCCTTTGAGGAAAAGGCCTGGCCAGACCCAGAATATATAACAGGATCTACTCCAGAGGCAATTGTATTTTGAAGCTGAATGATACCCTAGAAGAATCGATTCTTCTCTTTTAGGATCTAAAAGACCTAGTTTGGTGCAAATGTGACGGGAACTAGAGCAGGAATGATGTGCTGTGTCCACATGCAGTCGTGTGTTTGACAAACCCATTTGGTGGCACGTGTCCGTGCGGCCGAGGTACCTGATTGAGCTCCTCATCGTTGGCCACGGCCAGCAGGATGTGTCTCGGGGCTATCCGGGCCTTCTTGTTGTCCCTCGCGGCATTGCCAGCCAATTCTAGAATCTCCGCTGAAAGGACAAGGGGGAGTTAATAGGCAGTCACAGAATGGGGTCTGAGCTCCCTGAAGCTTTTCCTTGGGAATGGTCTTTGAGTTTGATCACATTGATTCACTTGTGATTTTTAAGTCTGGGCCTGGAAAGAAATCCAGAAAGCTGAAAAGAATTCAGGTCTTAGACAAGTAAGATATGTTAGCAAGACCTGACCTATGATCCTGGAACAAAAGTCTTCTAGTTGTCCCTTGACATTAATTCCTCCCCATCCTTCTTGGTATATGGATCTGATTTTTTTTTTTTTTTTTTTTTTTTTTTTTTTTGCTGAGCCCATATCCATGGGAAGGAATGAAGACAGTTTTTCCCAGCCTCCCTTGTTGATAGAGGTGGTCACGTGACTAAGCTCTGGCCAGTGAAAGGCAAGCAGTCGTGTTGTATGGTACCCCTTCCTTTTCTATTGCTGGACTGAGGGCGTGATGGCTGGGATTTGACCAAGAAGAAGCTGTGGATGTGGAGTAACAAGACAGAAGGAGCTGAGGTATCTCATGGCTGTGGAGCTTCCTAACCGACCTGGACTATGTTCTATAGCAGTGATGGCGAACCTACGACACGTGTGTCAGAGGTGACACGTGAACTCATTTTTTTGGTTGATTTTTCTTTGTTAAATGGCATTTAAATATATAAAATAACTATCAAACATATAAGTCTTTGTTTTACTATGGTTGCAAATATAAAAAAATTTCTACATGTGACACGGCACCAGAGTTAAGTTAGGGTTTTTCAAAATGCTGACACGCTGAGCTCAAAAGGTTCGCCATCACTGTTCTATAGACTTCTTTTATGAGAGAGAAATACACTCTTGTTTAAACCCTAGCATGGGGCATCTCTGAAGAGAATAGTGATGCAGGTGAAGTCTGTCTCTGGTCCCCAGTGGGACCCCTTTCAGAATCCTCTTTTCTGCTTCACCTGATGCCCCAGGTCCCTCTTGTCCTAAAGGAAAGTGGATGGGAAGAACTCACTCACACTATGGGATGAGGAAATGCTCACCCGAGAAGTGAATTCCTAGCGGGGAGACCTATGAGGTCTGCGAAGGAAGGTACATTGGGGCTCAGGGGTTTCCTCATACCCCTCACAGCCTGGCCTAGCTCTGAGTTTAACGAACATGTTATGTGGTAAATGGGAAAGAGCTGACAGAAAGGGATTTTCCTAATACTACTTCACCTGCTACCAAATTTTTGAGTCAAGTTTTTTTTAAAAAAAATCTATAGAATTGTTTGATACCATCTGTATGCTTTCTCCTTTCTCCTCTTATTTTGTTATTTTTCCTTCTTCCTCAATTTTAGGATGTTCTGCTAAATCAAACTTGTCTGCTTTTAAAAGAATGAATGAGCTATAAAGAAAAAGTCCTTCCCTTAGAAAGCTAACAGCAATGTGCCATTGAGTTGTTTCACTAACACGTGGGGGAAATGTGTGCGTATGTGCATGTGCGCATACATTTGTTGTGAGGTGTTTGCATAGGCGTGTGTGTGTGTGTGTGTGTGTGTGTGTGAGTGTTGGGGATTTGCTGGTATAATGGCATAAATATTAAATCTTAAAATTAACAGGGGATTATGTATGTCTTTACAATCAACCTAATTTCAAATAAAATAGCACATGAAGTTGCCATCATTTATAAAATATATGGCAATAAAATAAAAACTTTGCATAAGTATGCCATATTAACTAAGCAAATGTAATTAACAAAAATTAGAATAAAATAATCATTAGAGTTAAATATTTATATGGCATTTCCATAATGAAAAGTGCTAAATCACTGCAAATTCATCTCATAGCATCCCTTCCAGGTTATTAAGCAATGAATATTGTGTTTACCAACAATTCATTTATACAGGGATCATGTTTCCTGAATCAGAGATTGAGGGGGCACTGTAGTTGGAGAAGTATGAGCATATTTGTTGAGACAATGGGGCAGAGAATTTGAAATTAATGTCATATTGGATAATCTGATTTGCTGCATTCAGACTGCTGCCCAACCCTTTCTTTATTTAAAAAAGTGTACCCATCAAAAAGAAATGCAATCACAAAGCTTTCACTAATAGTCTTGCTGGCCTGGCCGGTGTGGTTCAGTGGTTGAGCGTTGATCCATGAACTAGGAAGTCACGGTTGGATTCCCCATCAGGGCACATGATGCGTGTAGGAGGCAGTAGCCCGCAACCTGATCTCTAGTAGGGTGCGTGCAGGAGGCAGCCAATCAATGATTCTCATCATTGATGTTTCTCTCTCTCCCTCTCCCTTCCTCTCTCTGAAATCAGTAAAAACATATTTTTAAAAAAATAGGCTTGCAGCATGACTCTAGGTTAAAATGGGCAGCAATAAAACGGGGTTTCCTGCACTTGCTCATCTCGGGGGCCCATGCCTGGGCAGAAGGTGCACTCCACTCCCCTTTTTCCTAGATGGGTGCGGGGGCCAAGGAGCCTCCCAATATTAAGCTTCTGAGAAATCAAATGTAATTTAGCATCTTGGTCCAGCACTCTCCTGCCTCTGTCCCTGCATTTAGAGGAAGAAGTTAAGCACCCTCCCAAGTTCATTAACTCAGTCGTCAGCATGAGAAGCAGGGCTCATGGGGAAACCCTCCATGCTTGGGGCCTGCAAGATGCCCCTGAAGGTCAGGTTATTTTCAGCTTGACGGACAGACGCACGGACGTGAGACCCGCAGATGGGAAATCTGCCAGAATTAAGTGCAGCACAGGAGAGAGTCACCGCAGTGACTCAGCAGGCGGCACGAAGCGTGGGACTGAGCTCACGGGCCAGCCATTCCAAAATCGGTTCTAGAAAGAAAACCTTGACCATGTGCTCTCGTGAAAAAGCAAAGGTAGAGCTTCCTTTTTCTTTAAAGAGGAGAACTTCATGATACACCAGAAAATCTAGACCAAGGAGTTCTTTTCTCTGTTGAATGTTTCATCTGAACATTCCCTGGGACAGAGATGCTACCATGTAAATCAGTGGTTCTCAACCTTCTGGCCCTTTAAATACAGTTCCTCATGTTGTGACCCAACCATAAAGTTATTTTCGTGGCTACTTCATAACTGTAATGTTGCTACTGTTATGAATCATAAATGTAAATATCTGATATGCAGGATGGTCTTAGGCGACCCCTGTGAAAGGGTCGTTCAACCGCCAAAGGGGTCGCGACCCACAGGTTGAGAACCGCTGATTTAAATGTTTGAAACAACATTAATCATTATTAATATTTTCAAATGCTGTTCCGGCAAACGCATTCAAGTGGATTATAAAATAAGCATTAAAATTTAATATTTATGTGGCATTTCCATAATGAAAAGTGCTACAACACTGCAAATTCATTCTCACATCTCTTCCACGTTATAGTTGCTACATCCTTGAGTGACTTTATTGATTTTGGAAACACAAGTCTCCTTCTATTGGCCAGCAGAAGAAAACTGGATTTAGATGGCACACATTTGTTCCACTGGAAATTCTGTAGGGAGATCATTATTCCACTAAGTGGTGGCGACTTCCCTGGAAGTTTATAGACTTCCATAGCAAACCTCTAACTTCTTGGAAGTCTGGTTTCCAGCAATAGTAACCATCTGGAATGCACCTGAGTATCTGGTAGTTAAAAAAAAAAAAAGATTTCTGTAGCCAAAAGAAATTATTTTGGAAGAGCTGTGTCCTCTCATTTTGGACACGAACCGAATCAACACCGGGCATCCCGACCCCAGCAGATGGGAAATAGCACATTAAACGGAGGGTTGGAACAGAGGGCCTGGAGTGGCCACTCCTTCAAGACCGTCTCCTTCTCCGGCCCCATCTTGCTTGTACACCTGCCCACTAGATGATGGCGCCCCTGGGCTGTGTCTGGGCCCTTTGCTCTGCTTAGGCCATGAGTCTTTTGAGGGAACCCCATCCACTTTTGGCTCCAGCTTCCACCTACCTTGCCGTGTGGTCAGATCTGCACCTCCAGCTCTGCTGAGATGTCACCTGGGCCTCCTCACCTGGGTGTCCCACAGGTAAATCAAACTCCCCACATCCATATCACCCCCTTCCCAAGCCTGCTCCTCCCATCGCCCCTGGGACTGGCAGCTCCATCCACACACAGACCTTAGAGTCATTCTCTCCTCCTCCCGCCCTCCCTCCTCCCGGCCTCTTCAAGCTCACACGCCTTTGCCCCTCTTCCCCACGCTTGTTGCCATGATCTGAGTTAAGGCTCTCTTCTCTTCCGGCCGAGAAAACAGTAGTGACTGTCGAAATGGTTTCCCTGTCCCCGTTTTGTCCTCCTCCAGATCCGTGCCAACAAGGCCATCACTAGGCCAAAGGCGCCTTTGTGCAAATTAGAAAAAGATGCCTCTTCCTCAAGACACTGTACTGCCCCGATTTCATCTGAACAAGACCCTTTACTGCCATCTGCTGGAAATGCTCATAATAAAGATAGTTATCTGAGGGCCACGCTGTGAATGGCACGCCCTTAAACGTGTGTCCTTGCGCAGTGTACAATCTGCACAACCACGCGTGTGGCTCTGGCTGCCCATGTGAGCTCTTCAAAACACAAATGTAATAAGTGAGAATCATTAGGTAAAAATGCTTGGTGTTAAATGGATAGGCCTAATTGCCTGGAAATGATGTGTAAATGATGAGTTCCTATGTCACACAATGATTTCAGGATGTGCCCTGAAATTTAACCCTGCTTTAAGACTTCTTTGTCCTCTCAATTAAAAATATTTTATAAAACATTTTCTCAACATAAAAAAGGTAAATTATTTATTCTCAATAGCTCATCGTGGTCCTCAATGGCCTGCTCCCCACTCCATCTCATTCCCACCCCCAACTCCCGGCCCTGCCATTTCCCAGCTTGTTCCTGGTACACGGAACTTCCTCTAGTTCCTGGAAGTGCTACATACTTCCTCTAAACTTCATCCTTGTTCCTCCCCAACCTGACAATCTCCCCCTGTGCAACCCCTCCCATCTGAATCTGGTAACTCCTACTAATTCCCAACTCTATTGCCCGTCAGATCATTTGGGGGAGCTTTGAGAAACCCTGATGCCCAGAACATACCCCAGAATTTCTGGGGGTGAGACCCAGGCATCAGGAAAGGAGAGGGATAGAGAGATAGAAACATCGATGAAAGAGCAAACATCATTGATTGGCTGCCTCCTACACGTGCTCCACTGGGGATCGAGCCCGCAACCCTGCAGAGCTGCTATTGCTAGCTCTTATCCCCACCCCTCCCCCAATTCCAGCCCCTTCTCCCTTGGGCCTCATTTACAGCCCAAGCCCCGCCCCTAGCTATAGCCCTCTGGCCCCACTGCTGTTCCCCCAACACTCCCAGCACCTGCCTTCCCCCAGGCTAGGGTGCCCACCCCCAGACATCTGCAGGCCCACTCCCTGTTGTCCTTCAGATGGGCCTTCTGGGGTGGCTCTATTTACGACTCCCCTCCCCTTCCCTTTTCTGGAACACCCTATCAGTAGTATCCACTTTATTTGTCCCCCAGCACTTAGCACGCCTGATGCAGCACACCCTCCACTTGTCTGCCTGCTCCTTCCTGGGGAATGCATTCTGCTGGAGGGAGGGATTCCTGCCTGTCCTGGTCTAGGCTCTATCCTCAGCATCCACAACACCTGGCCCACAGTAGGTGCTCAGTCACTTTGTGAGTGAATGGAAGATTCTGAGAACTCCATTCACTGAGAAACAGAAGGACGCTCTACTCTGGGAGGTACTATAAGTCCTTAAAGACCTGCTGGCTCAGTGTGACTGCTGTGGAGGCTGGGGGCTCTAATCCAAGACACATGAAAAACCCTAGCAATGGTCCAATTCTATGACCAGAGAGCAGCCTGAGGACTTAGTGTGTGTACTGACAAGTAGATGCTTACCAGACATTGGTTGAATAAATAAATGGGAAAATGTAAGCTTTTATCTGAACCAAAGATGAACAGAGATGCCCGTGATTCAAAAGGCCGCATTTGTTTTATTATGCACCAAGTGTGACTTTTGCCAAGTGGAGATGTAGAAAGTACTTAATTACTTTGATTATACACACATTATAATGGGTCACGGTGGTGTAGCGGAAAGTGCACAGCTTGGGATCGGAGCGTCTCAGGGAAGCCCAGCTCCTGCTGGGAGGCTGTGGGATCTCTGGGTCACCCAATTGGTTTCCAGTCTCGGTGGGTGACACGAGTTTAACAGGTTGTTTTAAAGTTTCATTCATCTTTCTCGAAGCCAGCATCCCAGAGCCAGCAGGTTTTCCCATCAGGCTTCTGGGTTCTACCCCAGACCCAGGGAATCAGGCCACCGGGAGGGGTGCAGCCAGGAACTTGCATTTTGAACAAGCATCGCCCACGCCTGTAGGCCTGCTGCTGAGAGACTGGCTGCCACCTTGCCCCTCTGAGCCGTCCTGGAACCAGTAGCATGGGCATCACCTGGGAGCTCGTTAGAAGGGCGGAGCCTCAGGCGCCACCCCAGCCTTGTCAACAAGATCCCCGGTGATCCCACCTTGAACAGCACTGCTCTATCTCCCTGGACTCAGCTGACCTTCAGAGCCTGCCAGCCCTCTCCCACCTCCTCAAGGATCCTCCTGGAAAACCTTTAGCCCAGGAGGGCTTTCATTGCACAGTAAGGGACAGGCTCATGGTGCTGCGGTCGGTGTGTCCGACTGAAGGTCAGGGGGAGAAGTTTCCACGAATGGATCAAGGCAAACCTTTCATCGGTAACAGTGCTCAGTGAGTGATGGGGACCAGGAGGGCAGAACAGGACCGTACATTTAAGGAGGAAGAGACGGCGCTTGAGGGAGAAGCAGGAGGGGAAGAGGGACCTGGGAGAGAAACTGGGTCCAGCCCTGCCCGCCTGGGGGTTTTCATTGCTGTGGCTGCAAGGGGCTCAGCTTCCAGGTAGGTGGTTTGGGGAAGTTTGCTTTTCTCCCTGGTGGACTTTCCAAAGGATCTGGTGTCTAGGGAATCCCCATGGGCAGAGTCTAAGACATTATTGCCAATGGCTAAGAGGACCCCTTCAATGAACTAACCACACTTATTTATATAGATTTGTATATTTATATATCTTAAAAATTAAAAAAAATTAAAATTGATTTCAGAGAAGGAAAAGGAGAGGGAGATAGAAACATTAATGACAAGAGAGAATCATTGATCAGTTGCTTCCTGCATGTCCCTTACTGGGGATCAAGAATGAAACCCGGGCGTGTGCCCAGGCCGGAATTGAACTGTGACCTCCTGTTCCAACCCACTGAGCCACTCTGGCTGGCTATATATATTTTAAAGCCTCCTTGAAATTGTGAAGTATATCTTCTGTTTACGACATAAGAGTACAATAACAAAAACGAAGTAGAAAGTGCTCAAGTATATAAAGAACCCATACAGCAAAACTCTCATCTCTTAGTAAAAAAGTAATTTTAACAACCAATATGGGAAACGATTTCCTACATAACCACTGTAGACAGAGAACCACCTCCGTAAAGGAGCAAAATTAGAATGCTGGCTTCATGGAACCAACTGAAGATGCCTTTGGTGCTCTAGTCAATGTTATTTATGGACACCGAGTCCTAGTTTCATGCCCCGGAGAACCGATGTTTAAGGAGGACTTTCTGTAAAGTGAAGATCCCCTTTTATAAAACAAATAGCACCCCCTTCCTCCCGTAGCTTCTCTTCTTTGGGAACCTAGATTCTCACACATCGCATTTGCCTACGCAAGACACACCGTTTTCAGGGCTGGGCTGGAAAAGCCACCTTCCTGTGAGTTCTCTGCCTCCCGTGCTGATCATCTGTCCATCTTATGCCCTTTTCTCTCCCCTAAAGCCTGCAGAAACTGATCAGCAAGCAGGCAAGCCCAACCCAGCTGCCACCCACAGCAGCCTTGAGACAGCACCCTCCCAGCCTATGTGAGGGGCCGAGCGGATTACCTGCCCTTTGAGGCACCTTACCTGCCAGGTACTCGATGACTGCCGCCATGTACACGGGAGCACCCACGCTGATCCGGTACTTGAACGTCCCTTTCTTCAGGTAACGCATCAGCCTCCCCACCGGGAAGATGACCCCGGCCCTGGCTGACCGGGACAGCTTGGACATTTTCTTCTTCCCGCTCCGGCCCGACATCTTGCCTCAGTTTCCCTCTCAGCTTGCTGACACAGTGGCTCCCTGGCGCCAGCACAATGCTGGCAAGGAAAGAAAGCAGGGTGAGGAAGGGCGGCTGGAGAACATCCTGGGAACAGTGAGCGGTCCTAGAGCACTAGGTGAGGTGCCTGACAGTCCGGGAGGTGGCTGAGACCGGCTGCCACCGCAGGGTGCTGCAGGCAGGCCATCAGCAGGCCCACCCACAAACCTCTCCCACCCCATCAAGCCAGCCCAACCTCAATACGAGAGGCCAAAGACTGTCACCAGAGAGAGGCCAAGGCTTTTCAGCCAGCGAATAATGGTTTCCAACAACGTCCACTTCGTCACCCCCGACCATTTGGGATGTGTCGCCTTATATGGCAGAAGGGACTCTGCAGATGGGATTAAGTCCAGGGTCCTGAGCTGGGAGCGTATCCTGGATGGCCTGGGCAGGTCTAAAGGAATTGCCAAGGTTCTTCCATGAGGGGGGCAGGAGACGAGAGTGAGGAGTGACATGAGTGAAGGGAGCGAATTCTCCTCTCAGAGCCTCCAGGAAGGACCAGACCTGCCGACGCCATTTTATTTTAATTTTTAAAAATATTTTTTTATTGATTTCAGACAGGAAGGGAGAGGGAGAGAGTAGAAAGATCAACGATGAGAAAGAATCATTGATTGGCTGCCTCCTGGCCCCTACTGGGGATCGAGCATGCAACCCGGGCATGTGCCCTTGTCCAGAATTGAACCCAGGACTCTTCAGTCTGCAGGCCGATGCTCTATCCACTGAGCCAAGCTGGCCGAAGCTGCCGGCGCCATTTTAGCCCAGTATAAGGGCTTCTGACCTCCAGGCTGTGAGAGAGTAAGTCTGTCTGGTTCTAAGCCACTAAATCTGAGGGTGACTTGTTACAGCAGCAATAACTAAACTAACACAGTCCTCTTTTCTCCGATTTGCTTCGGCCTGCTTTAACCCTTTGCGGTCGTTTGTCTACTCTCAGCCGCTAAAGCTTTCTTACCGTTCCGGTTGTATGTCTGCTCTCAGCCACCACAGCAAGGAACTGTACGAATCTTAACTCTATTCATTCATGTATCAGTTCATAATTTCTCTGAAAGCTCTTAAGTGTCTAAGCGACCTTGTCATGAACCAAAACATTGCCCCAAAAATCGGAGATATCGAAACTCAATATAAACACACGCGGCCGTTCCGCACTCGCCATGCAAAACACCGTGGCGAGTCAGTCGCCTTTTGAGAGTGAAGAAATCGACAAGCTTCAGAGATACCTCGCAGAATTTCAAATAAAGCTTTAAGATTACGTTTAACTGTAATTAGGCATTCTCGCTTGTTAAGATATTTCAAAATAATACTCCAAAATGGCAAAAAGAAAGTTACCGAAAGAAGTGTACTGCGAATCTGATTTTCGTGAAGGAGCGTCTTCAAAACCAGGAAGACCATCGGCCTCAGATAAAGATGAAAGGCTTAATGGGAAGCTGCATATATTGCGGCACTGTGAAGGTGTGCAAAGTAAAGATTGCTCTGTCTGTTCGAACAGAAAGATTAGGGGAGGAAGACGCCAAACTAATTATTTTTGCGATATATGTAGTCGAAAACCAGGACTGCATATTGGAGACTGCTTTCAAAGATACCACACAATGGAGAAATATAAAATATAATTTTTACATAAAAACATGTTATTGAAACACATTATTGTCTAAACATACATATAATGTTCAAAAAAGAATTAATAAATCTTGTTTATCCTTCATAATCTTGCATGTTATGTATCACTGCTCTTTCAATGGAAATTAATTCCGACCAGTACGACACCCATGTCCAAATGTAATACGACCGCAAAGGGTTAATACATTAGTACAGTGGGGCCTTCACTTACGAGTTTAATTCGTTCGGAGACCGAGCTCGTTAAGGAGCTCGTTAACTCAAATTACTCTACCAACTCAATGCAAAAAATTGGCCGAGAGACAGCTGGTATCTCAAAAAACTCGTTAGTCGGGACACTCGTAAGTCAAGGCCCCACTGTACCTTATTCATAGCTTTGACCTACAGCTCACGGCTGATTTCCAATAATTCTTAAAAACTGAAACATGCCAGAAGAGGCCACTGTATTGGATATGTTAATGCAAAGTAACCAAACGCCACAAATGAAAAGTGAGAATGCAGCCCAAGCTTCTGTTCCCTGGAATTTGGGGGAGAAACTTCAGAATCAGCAGGAAGAGGTGACTTCAATACAATGCCCCCCCAGAGACATGTGTATTTCAGGAAGCTATTTTTGTGTGAAGATAAAACAATTCTATGTTTCTGAAAGAGTCTCTAAAAGGCTAAAACTAACTCAGAGAATTGTGATAGAGCTTAACTTGTTGGTCAAGGGAGTACCGTGACCAAAAAATAGAATATAATTCAGAATAAATAAAAGCAAATTACAAAGGACAAGCAAGCAGGACCAAAGAAAAGAAGCCAGAAAACTTGTAGGAAATGTTTTAATGAGTCAAAGCTCTCTGCCCCAAAGGCAACATCATTCTCTGTAGACATTTCGTTTGGGGATGGACAATGAGAAAGTCAAAACGAAGCTGAAATTGGTTCTACCTGTGGAGGCAGCCATTTCAAATTTTGGTTAGGTCAGCTTACTAACAACCAAGATGGCAACGAAAAGGACTAAGAAAGTAGCTAAGAATATGATGGAAGAAAGTTCTAAATGAATGCATGGCTAGTGTCAAAGTCACAAAACGGGGATTTATTTAATTCGGATGGAAGAATGAACATAGTGTTCAATTTCTAAAGTATCTGATTGCTCTGTTATGACTGAGGAGTTTTAAATGAAACTATGGAATCAGCAACAAACCCCATTCTCAACACCCTCCTATCCCCAAGTTAAAGGATGAGAGTGTGAGGCATGTTATTACATACTTCACATACATTAATTTCAATTGCATATCTGCACTTACTATGCTCCCACTATATGTGTCATTTTGCCACCAAAAGATGTAGGTATTCATTCTAAGATGAGGAAACAGTCTTAGAATATTATCTCTTTCACGGTAAGATGCGGTAATAACATAATATCACCGTTTTTAGAGCCACATTGTCCGTGCCTCGGCTGTCCAAGGCTGCTAACTCTCAGAAGTAGACTTATAGATAGATGTCCTCTCATGGAGGAAGCCATCAGCAGCATATTAGGACGTTAACCATCGATTTAAGTTACGGAAACTTAGGTCAGGCATCAGTAAATGTCCTGAGTACCTGTTGTTGGTCATCACTGTCCCGGGGCCAGGGGACCCATAAAGCAATGTGGAATGGTCCTTGCCCTCAGAGAGAGCTACTTGGCAGGTTTGCTAGTTGGTGGTGCTGTTCCACATGGAGGTGGCTCCCAGTACAGTGGAACGAGCCCAGGACTGGGAACAGGAACCCCAGGGCGTGGTCCCACTTCTAATAACTAGCTATGCGCGTGCTGGGTGTCATTGGTGTGGGCCTCATCTGTAAAATAGGACAGTGACTAATAGATCCTGAAGGTCTTTCTGGCCTTAAATGTTCCTATTTTTTTTCAACTTTCAAATGGTTCTGGAAAAGAAGGGTAGGCCCTTTAAGAAATGAGTTCAAGCCCGGCTGGCGTGGCTCAGTGGTTGGGGATTGAAGTATGAACTAGTTTGCCCACGGCCCGGATCCGGCCCGTTTGAAATGAATAAAACTATTGAAATAAAAGACCGTCCCCTTTTATGTAATGATGTTTACTTTGAATTTATATTAGTTCACACAAACACTCCATCCATGCTTTTGCTCCGGCCCTCCGGTCCAGTTTAAGAACCCATTGTGGCCCTCGAGTCAAAAAGTTTGCCCACCCCTGAACTAGATCATGGTTTGATTCTTGGTTTGGGCACATGCCTGGGTTTCAGGCTCAATCCCCAGTAGGGGGCGTGCAGGAGGCAGCAGATCAATGATTCTCTCTTCATCACTGATGCTTCTCTCTCTCCCCGTCTCCCTTCCTCTCAAACACACACACACACACACACACACACACACACACACACACACACCACCACCACCACCACCACCACCACCACCACCACCACCACCACCACCACCACCAACAAAACCCCACAAAACAAAAACACCACCACCAAATAAAAAACAAGAAAGAAAGAAAAGAAATGAGCATAAAGAGACTGTGCATGTTCATAAAAATGTGTTCGTATTGGTGGCTCCACTAAGCCAATTTTGCGCTCTTTTTAGTTACTGGTAAGTGGAGGGAGGGGAAGGACAGTAGGTCGGGTTGCCAAGGAACCACCTAAAAAGTCCATCCCAGGTGGACATGCCCTGTGGATAGGTGCGTGCTGGCTGGTCAGGTCTCTCCTACCAACAGAGAACCATGCACAGGGGACAAAGGCCACAAAGGCAGCACCTCCCTCCCTCTCCTTCATTTTTCTCAAATGAAAATGGCCAGAGAATGAGCAGGTGTGCAGGATAAGGCGAGGGGCTTTCCCAGTGCCAGTCCAGAGGAGTCACACACGGCCTTAACAGCTGGGAACTGGGACCAGCAACAGAAAACAGGTGACATCAGGGCATTGATGCCAAAAACACTTATGACTTCAAAATAGTCAAGTAAGGAAAACCAGGGTTAGGCCAAATAGACAAACATATCAGCTGAATATTTACAACATGTAGGGGTCGCCCCCAACACAGCATGGATAGCAAGACTCTTTCTTTGGCGCCCAGACTCTCCTCTATGTTAGGGCCTTAAAACGGAGTTGAAGATGCAGCTCCATTTGAAGTCTAAGTGTGACACCGACTGTTGCATGTGCTTTTAATGCATTTTAAAAAAATTGATTTTAGAGAGGGGAAGGGAGAGGAAGAGAAACACTGAATGCCTGCCTCCTGCACGCCCCCTACTGGGGACCGAGCCAGAAACCTGAGCATGTGTTCTGACCAGGAATCAAACTGGCGACCTTTTGGTGCAGGGACGACACTCAACCATCTGAGCCACACCAGCCAGGGCTGTTGTATGTCGTTTAATAGACCTGGAGAGTTCTTTGTGCCTGGGGAGCCCGTCTTTTCAGACGT